CGGCTGGCCGCCCCCGGAGCAGCGCTCCCCACCCGCCCGCGCTGGGTCCGCGGGGCTGCTGTCCCGGCTGGGCTCGGTTGCTGTCCCAGCGGCTGCTGGAGGTGGGTGTGCCCGGCTGAGGCCTGTTCTCCGGGGCTGCAAATTGCAGAAGCGATGGAGAATGATTTCTTTTACTTGGATCCTCATTCACTGAAGGGCCTAGGAGCTATTCTCCAGTCCTGGAGCTGTACAGCTGCTTGTTGGTGCTCCTCCTGTCTTAAGTGGCCTAAAAATTGCTGCCTTAGGCTGTAATCTGTGGTAGCTGGTGAGGGAATCATTGCATCCACTGAGCTTGGAGTGTTTTCAGTCATGCAGAGTATGGCTGTCCTAGTACTTGGTACTTGATTTCCGTGCATTTGGTGTCTGGTCCTTAACCATCTGGCACAGGGAACATGATGGCTGCCCTGCAGGCGGCTCTGAAGAACCCTCCCATCAACACAAAGAACCAGGCAGTGAAGGTGAAATAGTAACTAACTCACTCATGGGTTACTCCCTAAAAATCCTTTCCTGTCTCTGTTGCCCCTGTCCTGCCAGGTGTACTTTGAGGAAGCAGTTTTTAGGGTATTCCCTGATATCGAAACATCCATGACCACTAGTGTTTTAATCTTGTTGGAAGTACTGTAGCTCAAGTGTCATCTGTCACGGTAACTTTCACTTGGGGCTGGATGAGGTGTGGTGTGTTCTCCCACCTGTGTTGGTTGTGTTTTATGTGCCCAGGTGTCACCGGATGCCTGTGTGTGACCCGGACATGGCAGCACACGGATGTAGTTGGTGCTGAGTGATCTGGGAACCAGAGTTGCAGTTGTCACCTCTGACAAATGAAACCATTAGCAGTGAGCCTACAAAAAAGGAAGAATTGGTGCTTATCACATCCAATCAGAGTAAAGCTGTTAAAACCTCAGAAAAGGCCAGCCCTCCCCCTGTGACAGAGAGTGGGTGTGTGCATTTCTGAGTGTCCCCAGAATAACCCTGGAATGGCTCATGATTGGGTGGTGGGAGGAACGAGCTGATAAGATGTGGCACTGCCCAGGTAGTGAGTGCCTGCAGTCAGCTCTCCCTGTCCACAGGCACACCTCCGTGCTGCTCATGTGGCAGAGTTTTTTCCCTTTAGCCCCAGCCATGATTCCTGAGGGATTTCACGGGGCTCTGAGAACCAGCTGTTACAGATGGCCCTGACATTAATGACTTGTTTCCATTAGCCCTGTATTGATGGATTTAAGAAAACACTTGGTAGTGGAATTGAAGAGGGCAGAGTGAATGAATATTAATGTCTGCTTTCATTTTTAGTTGATCTTTAGAACTTCTGTATTTTTACTTGCAGTTCTTCCTGTGAGAAGTCTTGCTAAGCCAAGTGGTTATGGGATATTAAATTGGGCAAGAACACTGACATCCACAGTTTATATAGGGGGAAGCTGCTTGAAGTGTTTGTGTAAAGTCCAATAAACCCAAGACCTTTTTTTTATCAGTTAGTGATGGATGAACAGGAAGAGAAGAAGAGCTGTTCTTTGCTGATTACATGGCTAAGTGCCACCATGAGCATGCCACACACATTCCTGGGCCTCCACAAAATGACATGCAGATCAACTTGCAAATGCTTATTAATGCACAATATTAATGCTGCCAGTCTGCAGCCAGTGTGCCTGGGACAGCAGCTGACTGTTTGGAAAACACGTGGCTTCCAGCAGTCACCTCTTCCAGGCTGGCCATGGCATTTCCATGGAATATAATAGTTGTGTCACATTGAAGAGTACAGAGGCATGGAAAAGGCTCTGGTGGAAAGGGAGGTCAGACAAGCACTTAATTGTCATAATTCTTTTGGAGCTTGCTAGACCTTGAGCTTTGATATGAACATTAAGTATTATTTAATTAAAATATTTAGTTATAATTGTCTAAAATAACTGCATTATTTATTACTATAGCCAAGAATTGCAAACATGAGCAGAGAGACCGAAAAACTAGAGCAGGGCAAACTCTTTACACTGTTTATCCTTGTCTGTTACATGTTAGCATCACACACTGTCCTATTCAGAACTGTTAAAGAGGAAAACATTCTCATTCACTTTTTTGAGAGAGGAGCAGTGTTTGGATGCATCTTACACGAGAATGGATGTGTCTGTGCCTGCCTGTTGACAGGATCGTGCTGAGAGCATTGTGTTGAAGGTCCTCATCTCCTTCAAAGCCAACGATATCGAGAAGGCGGTGCAGTCACTGGACAAG